TCATTACCATTGAAATCTAGCTGATGACTTCGTAATCATACACAGGCACCAAGGATCCAAGTGCAACCGATTATGACTAGTAATAATCAAATACATACAGATTAGAGATGCATGTGCCAACATCTCAGTATTAGTAGCAAAAACAACACGTCTGCAAGGAACAATATATTCTAAAAATGAAATGGAGATCTTTTTTAAAGGTTAAAAACTCATTCAATTTTATGTCTTCCAGGGCTTATACTGTGTTCAGTATCATATAACTGTATTAATTCAACTGTGAACCTAGAAACTTGCACCCACTTGTGAAAGAGATGTACTTTTGTTCTGGAATTTGTTACTGAATATGTTAAAGCTGTAGTGAAAAGCTTCTAATCATGTAGTTATTAAAAATTTAAAAACTATATGATTAAAAAATAATAATTCTTCAAAACATAAAAATTTTTTCCTTAATAATTAGTAGATGTGAAAAGAATTATTATTGAAATCTACCTGATGACTTTATATTCATGCTCAGATGCCAAGGAGCTCAGACAGTAATCGATTGTGACTAGTAATAATCTGACTTATAGAGATTAGAAACGCATGTGCAAACATCTTAATGTCAATTGCATTAAAAATGAAATTTTCTGTATGAAACTCTGTATTTTAATAATGAAATGGAGATATTTTGTAAAGGTTAAAACCTCATTTCATTTTATGTCTTATAGGGTTTATACTGAGTACAATTATGTATAACTGCAATAATTCAACTGTAAACTTAAAAATGTTTAGCCAATTTTGTAAGAGATACATCCTAGCTCAGAAAATTGTTACTGAATATGTCAATGCTGATATAATGAAATGCTTCTTCTAAGTATGTGGTTATTAAATAAATAATTTAAAAAATATTATACTCAATGTACTAAACGAATTCCATGAAGGGGAGTGATTTTCCTCTAAGAACTGATGCCCTGAGAGTCTGTACAGGCTATGTCCTGTGGTAAACAAGGTCCCAGGGATTTCTTAAACAGAAATCTCTATGCTTTGAACCACGGCCATGCCACTGTCATGGATGAACTACAGGACAGACTGGGAATCTGCTAATCTAACATCATCCTTTAACGTTAGAAGGTTACTAGGAGATCTATTACATTTTATTAAAATCATTTGAATGTACCATCAAATAACTGTTAATTGATTACCTATCCTATATTTGCTTAGCTTTTCTTCTGCACTTATTTTGCCAAATTTGAAGATTTTCTAACCATTACTATTTGAATATTTTAATTGCTACCATCTTTCGCCTCTCTTCCTGGGACACACTTGCTAGCAATTTTAATATAATGCTACATATTCTTGCAGCTATTTATTTATTTTTACTGTGATTAAGCCCAGGCCCTCTAGCATGCTGACACATGCTTCACTTCTGGACTTATCCCCAAACACATCTGTCTTATTTTGACTGCTTAATTCCTATGGCTCTCTTTTAAAATCTTATGATGATTTTTTCTGTAATCTCAATCCTGCAATGTGATTTTTGTTTCTGTTATTTAAAAAAAATATTCCATTTAAAAATACTCTCTGCTGAGTGGATAGGGAGGTGGGGGTGGATCTGGGAGATTGGGATGAACATAATCTGAATATATTTTGTGAACTTCTAAAATAATTAATAAAAAATTATTTAAAATATGCTTGGTGTGTGTATATGTATTTGTCCAACTGTTAGACAAAGGCATGAAAGACGGGTGCAAAAATAATTCTTTTTTTTTGTAACCTTGAACTCGTTGTTCAGTTTTGATACATACAAGAAAGAATATGACAAGGCATTCCAAAGTGGTGGTGTTGAAAGAAAAGAAGGCATAGGAATGAGGCATAACCTGGGCAGCCAGGCTCAGTCAGGGTGCATTGACCCCCAAGAGACTAAATGCATATGATGAACCATGTAAGGAATCTTATCACACAAGATGAAGATTTACCTGATCATAGATGCTTTTATACTGATCTAAAAATTCTGAACTTCCCTGAAGACTAGCACTCAGTATTAGAAAGCACTATGCAAGCTTTCAAGGTAGAAAACCAAGCAATAATCTTATCTAATTGTAAACCACAATAATGATCAGCACAGAAAACTATCTCTATTGGTTCAGTAGTGACACTTTTATATTGGGAGTAATCAACAACTGTCTCATTGAACTTAAGGTTCATTCAGTGGGAGGGAACTCATGTGTGATATTATAAACATACCCAAGTACACATGGTTGGGGTTGTCATAGATCCTAGAGAAAAACCCACATCTGTCACTTCTCTAGATAAACATAATTTCTTACTATATTCTAAATATCTATCCTTATATTTATATAAAATGTACTTCTCTTCACTCATCATAGAATATTATTTTTGGCACAAATGGATACATACTATGGATACATACTACCACAAAGTTCCACAAGGATCAAATGCAGAAAACAAGTGACTGTGAGGTGCCCAACTCTGAGTAACACATCCACAATGCACCTTCTGTATCTAAGGTTAAAGGAACAGCATGGAAGAGGAGGCATAAAGGAAGTAAGAACATAGGGACAAGACACCTGCTGCTAGTTAATGCATTCTACATGGTAAGGAAGCTGTATCAATGAAATATCCACAGTATGGTAGTCTAATGAGACATGCATAATGACAAAACCAGTTGACATGCTAAGATGGATGGGGGAAATTTTACAGGGCTCCACCTCAAGATGAAGAACTACATTCAATCAATTGATGCTGAGGGAGGGAGAATCAGTTTTCTCCAGGGACTAGTTGCCTGAGAAATGATCTAATCCCAAATGAACAACATTAAACATAGGAAAAATAAATAGGTACACTGTACTATATATATACATATATATGTATATATATACACACATAGGTGTGTACATGTATAAATGAATGTATATATAATAATAATAAAGAGGGCAAGTAAGAGAGGGAGTGGGGGTACATAGAAAATGTTGGTGGGAGACTGAGAGGGATGGAAATAATGGAGACAGTACTCATGTATGAAACTCTCAAAATAAAAAAGATCATAAATGTGAATGAAACTCTTTAGTTTAATAGGACGCAGAACATTTAGTAATTTCAAATTTTTGTCCATATATTGAGCTTTGTTTTTAAAGAGGAAACTACTGATTTCACAGTGAACAAGTAGATACCGCCTTGATTAAGCACTGACAGCTAAGGTATGACATTACCAGTTTTGAAAGAAAGGGGTATCAAGTGCCTCTGGCCATGATGCACCAAGAATGACAAATGCTATGCAATTGATGTTCCTAGACAGATCCATAGCTCTAACCCAATTATAAGGAAACACTGCACATGTCACCCAGACTGAGAGATATTCTGCTAAGCAGCGGGCATATACATTAAAAAAAAAATCAAGGTTAAAAAAGTGACTAAGAAACGCTCAGGTACTATTTATGTTAAGAGAAATTACACAGTCACATCTAAGTAATGCACTGTTTGTCTTTACATGGGCCTGCACTGGGAAAACTGGCAATAGAAAATATCAATTGGAAGAGTTAATTAAATGGAAATATAAGTTGTGTTTAATTCAGGATTTGGAAACAGTGCTTCAAGGGCCAAATGGACCCCAGAGCCTGTTTTGTATGATCTTATGTTTTAAAGGATTGTAAAAATAAACAAACAGCAAAAAACATATAAAAGAGATTTGATAAGTCTACCAAAGCCCAAAATACTTCTAATCTAGTACATCTTACTCAATTTTAGGCTCACCACTACTGAGAGTCAACATGTGTTTTATTTTAGTTCTCAGATTCAGCAATATAGATCCTGCCTTTTCATTCCCATCAGCCAACTAACCTCTTTTATTCTGCAGTCATTTGAGGCATTGAATTTGGACTACCACAAACACAACCATGACAATGTGCTTCTGCTTGCCCCTGTCTATTTTCTGTTAAGGGTAGAGGGACCAGGGACCTCAGCTTAGAAATTTCCCTCTAATCTTTTCTTTTCCTCCCTCACAGAACTAATATAGAAGGAAATTATGAAACTCTCAGTGCTTACGTGCTCTCTAGAAGGGTTTGGCTGTTAGAAAGCAAGGTAATCACTGGCTTCATTTTATCTGCTGGGACAGACCTTATTTAAGTTTCTGAGGTCTTTTCGAGGACTTAGTTCTCTGATCATGGCTGACAGGCTTGCAGGTATAGATATTTTCCTGTGATCTGGTGCATATGTTCCTGCAAATGCCATTTTACATTCTCTCCTCTCAGAAGAAATATCGACAAAATGTGTCCAGTGTAATTAAAAATGGATTCATAATGAAAATGCCAATTCAATGAACATAACTAATAACACTGTGAGTTCATATAATTACTTTTTAAATGGCCTAAAGATCTGATAGGGAAAAAAAGGACTTTACTATCATATGACACGGTTTCATATATTTACATTTCCAAAAAATTCAGAAAGCAGTTTTAAAGTGAAGAGAGAGTTGAAGGAGATAAAAGAAAATTGCAAAATGGTCTAGAGATAAGAAAATTTACCTTTTAGATTAAGTCTGTGTGCTTATTAACTTTTAGTTATTGTAAAGAAAAGAATACTGGGGGCTGGAGAGATGGCTCAACAATTAAGAGCACTGGCTGTTCTTGCAGAAGATCCAGGTTTGAATCCCAGCACCCACATGGCAGTTAACAACCATCCATAACTCCAGTACCAGAGGATCCAACACCTTTTTCTGTCCTCTGCAGGCAATGCAGTGGTGCTACCCTGGGGAAAAAGATTTTAACATGGGCTTTTGGGAGAACATTCCAGATTTGCACTGTAGCACTCTACAGTACATTTTTACTCTAAATTCAGTAAAACTATAAAGCATGTGCTATGTAACCGGAACTGCGGCAGTCACCCAGGATAATATACTGAAACAGCATAGTCTTTATCATTGAGGTAATCAAAATTACTAAAGAAGAGAAATCTCATGCAACTCCAATGGCCACTGTCAGTCTGCATTCTTACCCAACCAAAGACCACCTGCTCTGGGGTGACATCATCCACAGTGGATTGGGTTCTCCCACGTTACTCAACAATCCAGAAAATGCCTCACAGATACGCCTACGACCAATCTGATAAAGAAATTTTATCAACTAAGGTTCTCTCTTTCCAGTTGTGTCAACCAAAGCTATTCAACACAGCCTCTAAGTGAAGTGAAAGTTATACACGTAGATAGCACTGAGAATGTGAGAGGACAAAAGGAACTCTTATTTACTGCTCATGAGAATGTACATTAGTGTAGCTAATATGGAAGTGAATGTAGAGTCTCTTAAAAATTTAAACAGTTTCCATATATATGATCCATACCTACAACTTCTGAGTAGACACTTGAAAGAGTTGAGATCAGCTCACAAAGAAGTATCTGCTAGCCATGCTTATTTTAGCATTATTTTATTTGCACACATATACACAGGCACACACAAATCTAAAGTCCATATATGAGAGATATGCACACTGTTTGCCTTTCTGAGTCTGGTTTCTTCTGTTTACATAGTGATAATTTTCCTATAAATGACATGATTTAATTTTTCCTTATGACTCAATTTTAAACTTCCACTGTGTGTCTTTACCACAGCTTTAGTCATTCTTCTGTCAATTCTATCAGCATCCATAAACAGGTTCTTTCTGCACATCCTTGCCAGCATTTATTATCATTTGTTTTCTTGATGCAAGCTATTTGAATTTGGGTGAAATGGAATTTTAAAGCAGTTTTAATTGTCATTTCTCTATAATTCTAAGAATGTTGAACAATGCATCAAATATTTATTGAGAGAAAGAGGAGCCAATAAATCAGAGATGAAAAGGGAAACATTACAACAGACTCTGAGGAAATTCATAAAATCATACTTTAAAAATCTACATTCAACTAAATTAGAAAACTAAAAGAAATGGATGACTTTGTAATATATATGGCTTACTAAAGTTTGGTCAAGATGAAATAAATAATTTAAACAGATCCATAACAACTGAGATAGAAGTAGAAATTAAAACTATCCCAACTATAAAGAAGCCAAGACCACATGGATTTAGTGAATTTCTGCACATCTTCAAAGAACTTACAACTTATACCAATACTCCTAAAATATTTCCATAGACTAGAAAAGGAAGAAAATCTTCCAAAATCTTTCTCAGAAGCTAGTATTCTGATACTAAAAAGCCAGGAAAAGACCCACATAAAAGAAATCCATATATTTTGAGCATATTTTGATCCCCCTCACATATCTGCACAAACCCCCTTTATAATCCCTATGTTAGAGAGAGGCAAATTTGTGTTCCCAAATGTCCTTTCATGTGGGTTCATCCACTGGAGCCTGATCAACCTACTAAGAGTTTCACCTTTAAATGAGACTGAATCTCCCCTTCCTAGCAGTCATCAGTTGCCCAGTAGTTCCTCAGGGTTGGGGTTTCTTACCCCCCTCCTCAAATCTACGGTAGGATTCTCTCTGGCTTGAGCTTCCATGGGACTTGTCCAGGCTGTCAGCATTGCTGTGTAACTCATGTGAGTTAGTGACCAGCTGCCTGGAAAACTCTGTTTCTTTGTAGTCATCCATCTCCTCTGCCTCTTACAATTTTTTTGTCCCCGTCTTCTGCAATGATCCCTGTGCCTCAGGAGGTAGAAATTTGATATAGATGTCCCAGTTATGGATAAAGAGTCTACAATCCTGTTTTCTCTGCACATAGACCAGTTATGGGTCTCTCTGGCAATCATAATATAAGGGGTTTCCTTATAGTAGGTGAACATTGTCCCTAATAGACAGCATAGTCTAGTAAAG